AGGAAGGAAGGAAGGAAGGAAGGAAGGAAGGAAGGAAGGAAGGAAGGGAGGGACAGAGAGAAAGAGAGAGAGAGAAAGAAAGAAAGAAAGAAAGAAAGAAAGAAAGAAAGAAAGAAAGAAAGAAAGAAAGAAAAGCTAGCTCTGGTAAATAATTTTTGCAAATACCATCAAAAGAAAACAAATATTTAAAGTCAGTCTAAGTCAAACGGTACATTTCAAAATCTTCATTGGATTAGAGATCTCTAAGTTATGCAATGAGCTTCAATAAAACTACAGCATAGACACATGCCAAATCAGAGGGCCTTCAACACATTTTCTATCCATGCTAAGAGACAGAAAAAATCCCAAATAAGCAACAGGTAAGAGGGAAGGTACCTTGAAATGAGATGGGATACATGCTGTTCAGATACAGAACTCCAGAAAAGGACATCAGTGGAGAATACAAAATTCAAATCTCTGGTCTCACTATGTAACCCAGACTGGCCTTGAACTCATCCTGCGTCAGGGTCCAGAATGCTACGATTACAGACAAGAGCCACCATACCAGCACTAAAATTCCATATTAAAAATAAAAATAAAAAAATAAAAGCAGCAGCACCAGCCTCAATGACAGGTGGATCTGTGAGCACAAGGTCAGCCTGGGCTACATATAGAGAGAACCGGTCTCAACTCAAACAAAAAGGCTTCTTCCAGCATAGGTGTGCACTCATGCACAAACACACATACACACCCCAGGCTCTCTGGAATTTCCTCCTCTTGGATCTATTAGGTTGAACAACAAAAACCTCTCATTACATAGTTATTTTCATTATTTAAATTTTTTTTATATGTATGGCTGTTTTGCTTGCATGTATGTTTGTGTTAGCTACCCTGGAACTAAAGTTATAGGTAGCTGTGAGCTACCATGTAAATTCTGGGAATTAAACCCAGGTCCTCTGGAAGAGTAGTCAGTACTCTTAAATATTAATTAAGGTAACTCCCAATATTGGCTACTTCCAATTCCCTTCCATAATTTTTCGACAATCCCCACAACTTCAACTACTACTGCATGAACAAACTTAAGGTCAAAGTGCATCAAAGACCGCCAGCAACTACCTGCAGATGACAAGAGGTCAAGTACAGGCATAATGAGGCCCAACATTCTTGTTTGTTTGTTTTGTTTTCTTGAGACAGATTATCTTTATGTAGCCTTGGCTGTCTTTGACTAGCTTTGTAGATCAGGCTGGCCTCAAATTCACAGTGATCCACCTGCTTCTGCCTTCCTGAGTGCTGGGATTACAGGCGTGCATGACCAGCTGAGACCCAACATTCCTGAAGTTTATTTGAAGACCTGGGTTGTGATCCAGGTCTTGTAATGGGAAAGTGACTACCAAAATAGTAACATTTTTTAATTAAAATCTATGAGCTGGAGAGATAGCTCAGTGGTAAAGGGCATGAAATGTCCCTGCAGAGGACCCCTGGGTTCAGTTCCCAACACCCATATTAGGCCTGGGCTTCAGTGCCAAACCACCTGTAACTCTAGTTCCCGGGAACATAACATCCTCTTCTGGCCCCTGTGGGCACTGCACACAGGCACACACCCCCACCAACAATAACAGTAATTTCAATGTGGGCTAATTCCACAAAGAATCCTCATTCTCACTAGTCAAAAAGTGAACCCAGCCATGTATGGTAGTATGCCAGTAATCCTAGCACTGAAGAGGCTGAGGTAGGAGGACTGAGAGTGTGAGGCCAGCCTGGGAAAAACACCAAGTTCCAGGCTACCTGGATATAGTGAGACCTTGCCCCAACAACAAATCACAATAAAACAAGGGGTCATGCGGTAACTTGGCTGGCAGAATGCTTGCCTAGCATGCACAAAGCCCTGTAGCACTGCATAACCCCAGATGGCACACCCTTGTAACTCTAGCACTAAAGACATAAGGCAGGAGAAGTAGAAAGTCAAAGTTAGTCTCAGCTACATATGGAGTTCAAGGTCAGTCTGGGATGCAGGAGGCCCAGTTTAAAACAAAACAAACAAAACTGCATACTTATACATACTAGACAAACCACATAAGGCAAGCAGCAGTGGCCCAGAGATGGGCTATGGGCTTCAGAGCTGAATGGCCTGTTTTAAGCCCTGGATCCCTGACTTACTCCCTCGGTTTGCTCGTGTGCAGGCTGGAGATCATAAAGGCAGCGATGTCACTGAGTTACAAGAACTGAATGAATTATATGCCAAGAGGGTTTTAGAAAGTGCTTAGCATCTAAGTGCACAGTAAATATGGGCTGGTAGTATTCTACAGGATTATTTTGTACTAATGAGCACCTTTTCTGGAATGAACCTGAATAATAAGCAGAAGGAGCCAGCCCTGCCACCCTGCATCCCCCCCGGAGACTCAGGCCGGGTCGGCACTTTAGCTACACGTCTAAGCTGCCGAGGTCAGCCTGGTTCTTCAGTTTCTTGCCTATAAAAGTGACAAAGCCATTAATTCCAAAGAGTTGGAGAGTTAAAGATAACCTGTGTACAAAGCAGGAGATCAATAAATGGAAGATGTTTTTCCAACATAAAACACACCTCCAAAAGCAGGTTCTTGGATCTCTAAAATTGAATGGAGACAGCTGCTACAATTATCAACCAAATGTGAACAGTTTCTCAGTTACCTCTTGCACATCCTGGCTGGGAGAGCTTACTTTGTAAAGCCCTCAGTTTTGCCTATGTACTTTTAAACATGTGAAATCCAAGATAAAGCACAAAACTCCTCGTGTGTTGAAGCAGCAGAATCATTACCCCCTTTAGGAGCATCTTTTATTGGGACAGTGAAAATTTTTTGGAAGGAGTTGGGACTCTTTCTCTCTATGTAGTCCAAGCTGTCCTGAAACTTGCTATGCCAGGGTGACCTCAAACTCACTTGTCTCTGTCTTCCGAGTGCAGGGATTAAAGGCACGTGCTACCATGCCTCACTTTAAAATGTGTGTGTGTGTGTGTGTGTGTGTGTGTGTGTGTGTGTGTACGTACTGCCTGCATGATTCATGTATAGCATGTTCATGTTTGGTACCCACAGGGGCCAGCAGAAGGGGTTGGGTCCTCTAGAACTGGAGTTATAGTTACAGATGGCTTTGAACCACCATGCAAGGCTGGCAGTGGAGTCTGGCACCTCTGCAAGAGCAGTGAGTGCTCTTAACTGCTAAGCCAATGAAAGAGCAGTCCAGTAGGTAAGGGAAGCCCTCACAACAGCCTTCAGGCCAACATTAATGAACCATTTTATACTTGATAAGTTTCCTGAGCCAACGAAATTTCATCTTTATAGACTACCAATCTCCTAATCATTTATCTCCTTACTTATAAATAGATTCCAAGGTCAGTCTGACTCTGCTAAATCGGGTCACACAGGACAGTCTACCACTCCAGCAAGCTTCCGAAAAGTCAAGGTCAATAAAGCAGGAAAAACTGTCCCCAAATCAAAATTCCTGATTCTTCTTTCTGTTTGAGTAGAAGGCAAGACAGCCGTACTGCCAAGACAAGCAAGCCTGGCACCTAGGTGCCTCTCAGAGATGATAATGCCAGGATCAGACAGGCTCAGGTGAGCAAGGAAACTCCTTAGGGAAAAGAAACTGCCAGGTGTCACGAAGACAAAGCCCCTAGCCAGCCAAACCAAGAGCTCTCTTCAAGGACGGCAGTGTAACAGAGCAGAGTCTGTGCAGGAGTAAACCTCAAAAGATGGGCAACC